TGTGTGTGTGTGAGAGAGAGAGAGAGAGATATCACAGTGGAGTCAGCTGTCTTAACCGTGGCTTGTGTACTGCAAACACATATTCATCACTGTCTGTCACGCGACTTTGTTCCCCTTTCAGGCTCTGTCTTTACATTTATTTTGAAAGATGAAGCTCGTGATTATGGTAAGGGGAGTTCAATCACAATGCACTGGGTCAGCTGGCCAATCAGAGCAGACTGTGCTTGTCAGAAGGAGGGGGCTTTGTAGAAAATGATGTGTTTGAGAGAGGCGGGGCATAGAGGACCTACAATAATGTACAGTATTTGAAAAATATGTGTTTTTTGAACATTAAAGCATGTCAACATATTCTGTTACACCAAATACACAAAATAATTATCTTTAAAAAAGCATCATATGACCCCTTTAATATGTTGCAGCTTCTGAGAAGTGTATGTAAACTTTTGAAAACTAAACAGCAATTATTTCAGACAAATCTCTAGCCTATCTCCCCTAACCTCGGCTGCCCCCTTTAGGGGTCGATTGTTTCACAAAATTATATTTTCGCATTCTAAATGCTGTAGTATGTCCCCACAGGTTGTAGTTAGACATGAACCAACTCCAGTCATTCGAATGTGATTATATGGGTTTTTCATTTGAACGAAGCCTTGAATTTGGAATTTTTTGCAAAGTCGGTGGAATTTTCAGACGCTCCCTTCCGAACATCCACCGCATTGCGAACCTAAAACGAACTTTGAATGCGCCCTCTTAGCAGAAAACGTTTGCATATGTCAGGGTCCTGGCGAGTCGCAGCCCTGCAGAGTTTTGCTTCAACCCTAATAAAACACACCTGAACAAGCTAATCAAGGTCTGAACGGTTATTAGGAAGCTACAGGCAGGTGAGTTTTAATTAGGGTTAGAGCAGAACTCTGCAGGGCTGCGGCTCTCCAGGACCGGAGTTCGCCACCGCTGGCATATGTCATCAAATGTCATTTAATACAAATAAAACAAAGTCATATATTTAAAAAACGTTTTACTAACGTCCTGCTTGCCCATTAAAGAAACTGATGCGAGCAGTACATCGAGTCAGTGATCTCAAACAACGCTTTTTGCAGGCCTACGTGGCTTTAGCCATTTGCTGTAAAAAATAAAAAAAAATCAATAAATAAAAACCTTTGCAGAAACAAACACAACTACTACGGTCATACCTCCCGGTTCTTTTAAAATCACAGTCTGACTGCTAGATTAATTACTATAAATGCTGCTTGAATATGTAAAACCAACGCAACGACGCGAAATTATACGAAATTGAATACAAAACTAAAATGATAAACAACATTTTAAATGAATAAATCAGTCACAGTGCCCTCATCTACGACTTACCCCGTCATTGAGAGCTGATCTGGGTCAAATGCCGAAACCTGTAACGTTAGATGCGTGTTGCTCTGCTGGGCGAGAGATGCTTACAAAATCATACCTTTGTTTTCAAATAAATTCATTTGAAATCTCACACATCTCATCTGCGATTGACCACCTCGAGTTTTTCATTTATTAATGCTAATAATACACACAATGGCAACAAGAGGGAGCCGACGAACACGTATTTTCACCTGCATCACACGCTTAATTAACCTAAGGATCGATGTCGTTTTCCATCCGCTCCACTAGGCGGCGTAAGCGGGTTTCTCTGTTAGCGTGACACCCTCAGACGCATGACTACACGCGCTGGACAACAGCGGCCACAACAACACATACAAATACAGCTCCTGCTGATGACGGCTCAGTTACAGACTCTCAGCAGCACATATTACAGCTTGTTAGCAAACAACCTGCGATAAAGTACGAGAAGCAAGTGAAACGCGACACATTGGTAGGTAACGTTCTGCAGTGCATTTGTATTATTAATATCGCGCATTGCACAGCAGTCTTTGTTTTTTAAGTTGATGTGTCGTTCTGATATGCATTAGCAGGGCTCATCTGTCAGTTCTTTTAGATTCATAAGATTTCCGGCTTTCAGGGATTTTTCAGTGTATGCATTAAAAAGTAAAAACAAGTACAAAAAGTGCTTGTCATTTGACATCATGTATAAATCTTGTAAACAAAGCCTCCATAGAAGATGATGATTTATACATGATGCTCTCTTGCTGAACTCTTTTGTCAAACCTTTAGAATAATCCGTATTTGTTGCGTTATCTTTATAAACTTGATATGATTAATGATCTTCATTATTATGAAACCGAGCAATAAGTGAAAGGGTTTTTTCTTTCTACATTCTACACATCACGTATGTGTTTGCTGCAGCCTTACGTTATTATTATTATTTAGTAATGTGTGTTTCAATTAAGACTGAATACCATATACATAATGTTTTTATTTGTCTATTTAACCTGTAGATTAAAGAATGTCTTTGGAGTACACATCTACCCAACAGAAGCAGAGTTCAAGGTAATGTTTATTTCCATGTATATAGGGGTTTTAGAGTAGTAGTATTTAGTTTTTCTTATAATGATAACACCATATGGCCAAGCGTATGTGGACACCTTGTTGTAATTAATGGGCTTACCTATTCTAGTTATTTCTGTCTTAATGCTGTTGCAGAAATATTGAAAGTACACGTCTCTATAGTGTTATGCTACAATGTTATGTTTTCTATAATATAACAATCAATAGCAATAGCAAGCTATAAGATCCAAACCTATTAATTATCCACATGTTTTTTGGCATATACAATGTTTTTTTATACAACAAAACTTTTTTCTAAAAGTATTTTTACTTAGAAATGTGTTATTAGTGGTAGTAGCATATATATATATATACCGAACTGTGCTGGCTATAAACCATTATTTTAGTATTAATGTTGTTTGCAATTATAAATACATAAAATTAAATGTAGACACATGGTTTTAATTCAAATTTTAATGATCAGTAATTCAGAAATATATATTTTTTAAATCTAATTTTCATTTTTATTCTTTTTTTTTATTTTTTTATTGCATCTGTGAGTCTGTCCTTAACTATTGTTAAAGTACAAGTGTAAATGTGAGGTGGTCATGGTTGAGTGGTTAATACGCAGGCCATGGTGTGGGAGACCTGGGTTCAAGCCTGCTGGAAAGTGTTGTGAGTTTTTTGCCAAAAAAACCAAAAATGACCCCCCCCAAAAAAAAAATTTCCCCCTCTTTTCACACCTTTCTCTCTTTAGGTATCTCTCGGTCTGGCCTGCTCCGCCTCCATCTTGGTCATTCCATTCCAGGTGTGTCTTTCACTCATGGCCAGGTTTACCACCCCAGTTTTGTGGCAGCTGATTCTCTTTGGTTTTGTGCCAGCCTCCTAACCACTGTCAGTACTGCCAACTTGTTTCGTTCTCTTGTCATCTCAGCCATCATTGGTTGCCAGCCGACTTTCTTTGGTTTCTCCCCAGGTATTGTGCCATCCAGGCCTCTGTCGGTTGCCAGCCAACTTCCTTTGGTTTCGCCCCAGATTTTGTGCCATCCAGGCCACTGTTGGGTCATCCCAACTTGCTGAGGTGGGGTTTGAACCCTTGCCTCTACTGTAATCTTATCCGCAACCACCGTGTGTTTAGCCACTAGTGCCATCGGGGCTTTCACACTGACAGGTGACATTTGGGGCACTTTGTTCATAATATTTTAGGTTACAGCAATTTAATGTCAGCAATAGATGGAGTCGAACCGGGGTTTCCAAGTTTAAAACACAACACCTTATGACTTGAGCCACAAAGTCTGGCAAGTTGAGCGATGTTTTCGGAGGAATTTTATTGAGAGCTTTTTTTTTTTGTAAGATTTAATAAACAAGCATTTTTGGGATTTGAATTTATGTCTCTGTTGCACCTACTCATTTACAGAGCATGTGTTTAGTCACTTTTACCACTGTAGCTTTCATGCTGAGTGATGGCGTTTGGGCCACTTTGTTGAAGTGGGAATTAAATAAAAATGAAACAAGCAAAAGCAGGGTTTGCGCTCAGGTCTCCATGATTAAAACGCAATGCTTTACCACCTGAGCCACTGAGTCTGGAGGTGCAGTAGATGTTTTAGATGGTATTGTGTTAAGAGTAACAGTTTTATAAAAAGAAAATGCAATCATCATCTTGGGATTTGATCCCAGACTTTCTTGTGTCAAAGGTATGTTGTTTACCACTGAGCGACAGCAGCTTGGAGTGTTAAGATTGTTATTTTTTTTAGCATGATTGGAAAAAGTAGTCATAAAATGTAAAAGTTGAGGGATTTAAACAAAGTTTTTCAGGTTGAAAGTCAAACAATTATCCTTTGCAGTGTATTGTTTCTGACCAATACTTTGATGAAAGTCCTGACAAAGCATTATTATGTGAAGATAAATAAATAAATTGAATTGTGGCATTTGAACCCAGACTTTCACATTCGAAGGCAAAAGATTATCCTCTGTGCCACAAACGTTTCGGTGATGTGAGCTTTCACACAACACAGTGTCTTTAAAATGAGAATTTAGAAAAAAATTGGCAAAGGCAAGTGGGACTTAACATAAGCAATAGTGGGATTTGAACTCAGGACTCTACAATTAAAACACAATGCGTTACCACGGCATCTGGAGAGTTGGACAGGGTTTCAGAAAGTGTATATTGAGAGCTCAGTTTTATAAGAAAAAGCATCCACACACCTTGGGATTTGATCCCAGGCTTTCACGCATCAAAAGTAAATGACTTACCACTAGGCTACAGTGGCTCAGAAGGTTAGGATGTTGAAAGTCAAACAATTATCCCTTGCAAAGATTGTTTCACAAAATTATATTTTCGCATTCTAAATGCTGTAGTATGTCCCCACAGGTTGTAGTTAGACATGAACCAACTCCAGTCATTCGAATGTGATTATATGGGTTTTTCATTTGAACGAAGCCTTGAATTTGGAATTTTTTGCAAAGTCGGTGGAATTTTCAGACGCTCCCTTCCGAACATCCACCGCATTGCGAACCTAAAACGAACTTTTAATGCGCCCTCTTAGCAGAAAACGTTTGCATATGTCAGGGTCCTGGCGAGTCGCAGCCCTGCAGAGTTTTGCTTCAACCCTAATCAAACACACCTGAACAAGCTAATCAAGGTCTGAACGGTTATTAGGAAGCTACAGGCAGGTGAGTTTTAATTAGGGTTAGAGCAGAACTCTGCAGGGCTGCGGCTCTCCAGGACCGGAGTTCGCCACCGCTGGCATATGTCATCAAATGTCATTTAATACAAATAAAACAAAGTCATATATTTAAAAAACGTTTTACTAACGTCCTGCTTGCCCATTAAAGAAACTGATGCGAGCAGTACATCGAGTCAGTGATCTCAAACAACGCTTTTTGCAGGCCTACGTGGCTTTAGCCATTTGCTGTAAAAAATAAAAAAAAATCAATAAATAAAAACCTTTGCAGAAACAAACACAACTACTACGGTCATACCTCCCGGTTCTTTTAAAATCACAGTCTGACTGCTAGATTAATTACTATAAATGCTGCTTGAATATGTAAAACCAACGCAACGACGCGAAATTATACGAAATTGAATACAAAACTAAAATGATAAACAACATTTTAAATGAATAAATCAGTCACAGTGCCCTCATCTACGACTTACCCCGTCATTGAGAGCTGATCTGGGTCAAATGCCGAAACCTGTAACGTTAGATGCGTGTTGCTCTGCTGGGCGAGAGATGCTTACAAAATCATACCTTTGTTTTCAAATAAATTCATTTGAAATCTCACACATCTCATCTGCGATTGACCACCTCGAGTTTTTCATTTATTAATGCTAATAATACACACAATGGCAACAAGAGGGAGCCGACGAACACGTATTTTCACCTGCATCACACGCTTAATTAACCTAAGGATCGATGTCGTTTTCCATCCGCTCCACTAGGCGGCGTAAGCGGGTTTCTCTGTTAGCGTGACACCCTCAGACGCATGACTACACGCGCTGGACAACAGCGGCCACAACAACACATACAAATACAGCTCCTGCTGATGACGGCTCAGTTACAGACTCTCAGCAGCACATATTACAGCTTGTTAGCAAACAACCTGCGATAAAGTACGAGAAGCAAGTGAAACGCGACACATTGGTAGGTAACGTTCTGCAGTGCATTTGTATTATTAATATCGCGCATTGCACAGCAGTCTTTGTTTTTTAAGTTGATGTGTCGTTCTGATATGCATTAGCAGGGCTCATCTGTCAGTTCTTTTAGATTCATAAGATTTCCGGCTTTCAGGGATTTTTCAGTTTATGCATTAAAAAGTAAAAACAAGTACAAAAAGTGCTTGTCATTTGACATCATGTATAAATCTTGTAAACAAAGCCTCCATAGAAGATGATGATTTATACATGATGCTCTCTTGCTGAACTCTTTTGTCAAACCTTTAGAATAATCCGTATTTGTTGCGTTATCTTTATAAACTTGATATGATTAATGATCTTCATTATTATGAAACCGAGCAATAAGTGAAAGGGTTTTTTCTTTCTACATTCTACACATCACGTATGTGTTTGCTGCAGCCTTACGTTATTATTATTATTTAGTAATGTGTGTTTCAATTAAGACTGAATACCATATACATAATGTTTTTATTTGTCTATTTAACCTGTAGATTAAAGAATGTCTTTGGAGTACACATCTACCCAACAGAAGCAGAGTTCAAGGTAATGTTTATTTCCATGTATATAGGGGTTTTAGAGTAGTAGTATTTAGTTTTTCTTATAATGATAACACCATATGGCCAAGCGTATGTGGACACCTTGTTGTAATTAATGGGCTTACCTATTCTAGTTATTTCTGTCTTAATGCTGTTGCAGAAATATTGAAAGTACACGTCTCTATAGTGTTATGCTACAATGTTATGTTTTCTATAATATAACAATCAATAGCAATAGCAAGCTATAAGATCCAAACCTATTAATTATCCACATGTTTTTTGGCATATACAATGTTTTTTTATACAACAAAACTTTTTTCTAAAAGTATTTTTACTTAGAAATGTGTTATTAGTGGTAGTAGCATATATATATATATACCGAACTGTGCTGGCTATAAACCATTATTTTAGTATTAATGTTGTTTGCAATTATAAATACATAAAATTAAATGTAGACACATGGTTTTAATTCAAATTTTAATGATCAGTAATTCAGAAATATATATTTTTTAAATCTAATTTTCATTTTTATTCTTTTTTTTTATTTTTTTATTGCATCTGTGAGTCTGTCCTTAACTATTGTTAAAGTACAAGTGTAAATGTGAGGTGGTCATGGTTGAGTGGTTAATACGCAGGCCATGGTGTGGGAGACCTGGGTTCAAGCCTGCTGGAAAGTGTTGTGAGTTTTTTGCCAAAAAAACCAAAAATGACCCCCCCCAAAAAAAAAATTTCCCCCTCTTTTCACACCTTTCTCTCTTTAGGTATCTCTCGGTCTGGCCTGCTCCGCCTCCATCTTGGTCATTCCATTCCAGGTGTGTCTTTCACTCATGGCCAGGTTTACCACCCCAGTTTTGTGGCAGCTGATTCTCTTTGGTTTTGTGCCAGCCTCCTAACCACTGTCAGTACTGCCAACTTGTTTCGTTCTCTTGTCATCTCAGCCATCATTGGTTGCCAGCCGACTTTCTTTGGTTTCTCCCCAGGTATTGTGCCATCCAGGCCTCTGTCGGTTGCCAGCCAACTTCCTTTGGTTTCGCCCCAGATTTTGTGCCATCCAGGCCACTGTTGGGTCATCCCAACTTGCTGAGGTGGGGTTTGAACCCTTGCCTCTACTGTAATCTTATCCGCAACCACCGTGTGTTTAGCCACTAGTGCCATCGGGGCTTTCACACTGACAGGTGACATTTGGGGCACTTTGTTCATAATATTTTAGGTTACAGCAATTTAATGTCAGCAATAGATGGAGTCGAACCGGGGTTTCCAAGTTTAAAACACAACACCTTATGACTTGAGCCACAAAGTCTGGCAAGTTGAGCGATGTTTTCGGAGGAATTTTATTGAGAGCTTTTTTTTTTTGTAAGATTTAATAAACAAGCATTTTTGGGATTTGAATTTATGTCTCTGTTGCACCTACTCATTTACAGAGCATGTGTTTAGTCACTTTTACCACTGTAGCTTTCATGCTGAGTGATGGCGTTTGGGCCACTTTGTTGAAGTGGGAATTAAATAAAAATGAAACAAGCAAAAGCAGGGTTTGCGCTCAGGTCTCCATGATTAAAACGCAATGCTTTACCACCTGAGCCACTGAGTCTGGAGGTGCAGTAGATGTTTTAGATGGTATTGTGTTAAGAGTAACAGTTTTATAAAAAGAAAACGCAATCATCATCTTGGGATTTGATCCCAGACTTTCTTGTGTCAAAGGTAGGTTGTTTACCACTGAGCGACAGCAGCTTGGAGTGTTAAGATTGTTATTTTTTTTAGCATGATTGGAAAAAGTAGTCATAAAATGTAAAAGTTGAGGGATTTAAACAAAGTTTTTCAGGTTGAAAGTCAAACAATTATCCTTTGCAGTGTATTGTTTCTGACCAATACTTTGATGAAAGTCCTGACAAAGCATTATTATGTGAAGATAAATAAATAAATTGAATTGTGGCATTTGAACCCAGACTTTCACATTCGAAGGCAAAAGATTATCCTCTGTGCCACAAACGTTTCGGTGATGTGAGCTTTCACACAACACAGTGTCTTTAAAATGAGAATTTAGAAAAAAATTGGCAAAGGCAAGTGGGACTTAACATAAGCAATAGTGGGATTTGAACTCAGGACTCT